TATTGGCAATTCCCTTCCTAATAATCCTCAGCATAGCATATACATCTTAAAGGTAAAGGTTCCCTTGCTTGAAAGCCAGTCGAATCCGACTCTAGGGTTGCGGTGCTCATCTCAGTTTCAAAGCCGAAGAGCCAGCGCTGTCCGAAGACGTTTCCGTGGTCATGTGGCTGGCATGACTAAACACCAAGGCGCATGGAACGCTGTTACCTTCCCACCGAAGTGGTACCTATTTATCTACTTGCAATTTCTTGCTTTCGAACTGCTAGGTTGGCAGGAGACGGAACTCACTCTGTCATGCGGCACACTCGTGTCTCGAACTGCTGAACTACTGACCTTCCACAGCCTGCAGTTCAGCGTCTTAACCACTTGAGCCACCGCAGCTCCTCATCTTAACTAGGTATAAACTAAACATAATATAGTATAACACAACAAACATAATGCATAGACTATAGAATGGCGTTACATATAATACTAAAGTTTGGCACTTTACGCTGAGTAAATCTTCTATTTATTTTATTATTTGTAGACAGTTGTTTGAAGGTTAGTGGCCACTGGACGATATTTGTGTTGCATTATTTATCAGAATAACCATTTATGATACAAAGGGTTTGAAGGTAGTATATCTTTTGATGACATAAATTCTAAAACCGGTGCCCATGTCCGCACAAAATTGGAGTAGATTGTTGTATTAGGCAACCACAAGTGACTTCTAAGGCTTAACTCAACGGAATGGGGATTTATCCTCCAAGCAGGGGGCTGATGGTGGGCAATGGATATAGGAATGCGCAGGGAAACAGTTAATTCAGTTAATATGATAAAGCTTTTTGAAACTGCAGAATCACTGGTACGTATATTTAATTCCTTTGCAGTCTACCGGCTAGAAACTGTTTTGACGGTCAGAGTTGTGCCACAGTGGAATCAGCTGCCTGGGGAGGTGGTGAGCTCCCCCTCCTTGGCAGTCTTCGAGCAGCGGCTGGACAAACCCTTGTCAGGGATGATCTAGGCTGATCCTGCATTGAGCAGGGTGTTGGACTAGATGGCCTGCCTGGCCCCTTCCAACTCTGTGATTCTATGATTCTATGATACACTGGACAGCTCCACTACCAAAGACTTCAAGAAGAAGAAGAAGAGGAGGAGGAGGAGGAGATTGGATTTATACCCCGCCCTTCACTACCCGAAGGAGTCTCAGAGCGGCTTACAAATTCCTTTCCCTTCCCCTCCCCACAACAGACACCCTGTGAGGTAGGCAGGGCTGAGAGAGCTCTGACAGAAACACCTCTTTTTCAAGAACAGCTCTGACAGAACTATGGCTTGCCCAAGGTCATCCAGCAGCTGCAAGTGGAGGCGTGGTTGAATCAAACCCAGTTCTCCCAGACTAGAGTCCGCGCACTTAACCACTACACCAAACTGGCACCCATCCACCACATTTACAAAAGTAATATCTTTACATTACACTTGGGGGGAGGGGCGACAAAGAGTATATACAGAAAAAATATGCTTGTAACATATAGTATCAGAGTCATTTCACACATTACCAAACAGCAGGCACAAGCCCCTGCAGCAAACACACTTGCCATGCAAAGAATGAACCCGCCTTTGAGTGCAGCATCCACTTTTTAACCGGTGAATCCAATTTAAATAAACCTGCCTGTTGCCAGAACTTACATGAGGTAGTAGAGACCGTGCAGGATCCTTGCAGTTTATGAAGCTAAAGCTCCCATTCGTTAGAAGAGAAGGACCCTGATTCATCTATACCAAGATGCTTTTGTTGTTTTACCAAAACAATAATCTGTAATCATCTGTAGCCATCTATAGTCTGGGAAACACCACGTCCCTCTCATTCCCATTAAATTAAAATTTGTCATTCCTGATTAAAGAAAGCTTTACTCAAAGGACTGATGAAAGCAATTAAAGCTTGCAGTCGGCATTTAAAAGGCTAACCTAAACAGCGGCACCTAGAAGCCATTACTTTTAAAAATATATATACTGACAATGTTGCATTGTAACCTGCCGTCGTTCCCAACCAATAGAAATAATGCTGTTCAGGAAACACTTTTCACCTTTACAGCTACTTGAGCTGTTGGAACAACTTCTGATTCATTATTTAATCAGGGATCCCAGTTCCCAGAGATGACTTGTCGACACCGAAAAAGCTGGGACACGAACAAGAGCAGCAAACAAAGCACCTTTTTCAATTTGGAACTCATTTGGAAATGAGAGAGAGAGAGAGAGAGATGTTTGTCGAATGGAAAATGACAACATTACACCATAATTCATGTTCTCATTTCCCAAATGACATTATAAGCAAACAAAATGTGAATACAGACAGCGCAGGGGGCTGCCTTTGCAACCCTGCATGGGCTGTTCAGATCTTTCAATCAAAAACGCTCATGTGCTTATCCCCGGGATCTCACCACTCTTTAAAAAAACCCCAAAACCTTCCAGTTTGGTTATTAACAAAAGAAATTCAGAAACATACACAGAATGCAATTAGTGTGGCAACGATGTAAGAGCCTACAGAGTCCCAGGTTTAGAAAGAGTTACAACCTTTGAAATGCATTGTCTTCAGTGTCTTTAGGAGGGTGTGAACAGGTCTTAAGATTGCACTGTATGGGCATAACTACCAACTACAAAACAAGCCAAAAAAGCAGATGTACTGTTATGTATTGAGCCTAAGCCATTCCTCAAGCTGTACCTAGAATGGACTGAGCTTGCTTCCCTAGAACAACAGCTCGCCTGGATCCACGAACTAACCAATAGATAAGAGGTGTCATGTAAATAGCCTATCACTGGGAGTGTGTGTGTGTTGGGTGTGGTGTTTTGCATGCTTATAAGCAGGGCTCCAGCCCTGCTAGCATGTCCTGTAGTTTGCGGAAATCACTTAATAAACCAGAGCTGATCACTGCAATGCATCTAGAACTCAGAACTTGTCCCTTCCCTGCAGCATATCCAGCTTCCCTTGTCAGGGATGAGAGCAGAAAGGGGTGGCATTAATTGAGATTGACCAGTGCATGAGGCAACCTCAGGGCTGGAAAACCTCATCCTTCCAGACGAAGTCCAGGGGCACCTTTAAGATTCACAAAGTTTTTATTCAAGGTGTGAGCTTTCATGTGCAGGTACACTTCCTCAGGTACAATGAAATGTAATTACAGATGGATTTCACAGCCAGGAGTGAAATCAAAGGATCTATTGGCTGAACGGATTTGGGTGGGCCCAGGCCACCAGAACCCCAGACCTGGACTGGTGAAGATCATTTTATACACGAGGGACAGAGTACCGAAATTGAGCTGTTTTTTCTTTGTCTGTCTGCCTGTCTGAGAGACAGAGAAGCTGTTAAATGCTGGGTTCCATGGATGGTCTGACCCCCAAGCCTAGTGATCAGCTCTCCTTTATTAGTGATTCAGCAAGAACAAAAAGTGAAAAAGCCAGGGCAACCGCCCTGTTTAAATAGCATGCAACTCCACCCACTTCCCCAAACAACTACCAATGATAGGCCATGGTCAGAACCATTAACTCCTCATTGGCCACCTCCAGAGTCCTGGTGGGCTATTGTTCTAGAGCTTCAAGCTCGGCCAGTCTCTGGTTAGAAACAGTCCTGGAATGTTCCAGTCCCAGTACATAACAGAAACAGAGAGAGAGAGAGAGGCTGCAGGGAGGGGAAAGTTACAAGGAGGGATGCCTGGAGATCTCCCAGAATTTCAACTCATCTCCAGACTACAGAGGTCAATTCCCCTAGAGAAAACAGCTGCTTTGGAGGGTAGGCTCAACGGCATTATAACCTGTTGAGATTTCTCCCCAAAACCTGCCCTCCTCAAGTTCCACTCCTGGGAGGTTCTGATACGTGTTGTCACACTCCACATTATCAGCTGCCACTGACAACATGGGGGCTCCCCCACATCACAACAATGTTCAGACACAGAGCAGGTAAACATAGACCAGGGATCCCTAGCATGGTCCCCGTGAGTGCCATGATGCCTACCAACACCTTTCCAGTTTGGTGTCATGGTTAGGAGCATGGACTCTAATCTGAGAGAACTGGGTTTGATTCCCCACTCCTCCACATGCAGCTGCTGGTGAGACCGTGGGTCGGTCACAAGTTCTCTCATAGCTGCTCTCTCAGCCCCACCTAGAAAAAGAGGAAGAGAAGAAGAGATTGGATTTATACCTCGCCCTTCACTACCCAAAGGTGTCCCAGAGCGGCTTACAATCTCCTTCCCCTCCCCACAACAGACACCCTGTGAGGTAGGCGGGGCTGAGAGAGCTCTGACAGAAACGGCTCTTTTTCAAGAACAGCTCTTATCAGAACTATGGCTTGCCCAAGGTCATCCAGCCAGGTGCAAGTGGAGGAGTGGGGAAACAAACCCGGTTCTCCCAGATTGGAATCCGCGCACTCAACCACTACACCAAACCTACCTCATGGGGTATCTGTTGTGGGGAGGGGAAGGGAAAGGAGATTGTAAGCCGCTCTGAGACTCCTTCGGGTAGTGAAGGGCGGGGTATAAATCCAATCTCCTCCTCCTCCTCCTTCCCTTGCACCCCCTAAGCGTCTTCAGAAAGTAGGTGGGGCCAGCAGGAGCTCTTGCCCAGCAAGGCTTCTGGTTGGCTACTGGAGATTTGATTGGCTGTGCAGATTTTTAAAAAAACATTGCTTTGGCGGCAGCTGCTACCACAGCACGAGGATCGTCACCATGTGACTGAAGGTAGGCCGTGGCGGCCATTTTGTGGCTGGCCTCACCTCCAGCGACAGCCATTTTGTGGTTGCTCCCACCACCGTGCGTCAGACTTCCAAAGGTGCCTGCAGGCTCTAAAAAGCTGGGGACCCCTGATTGAGACAACGCAAAGGGGAAGGGGCACACATCACGGGGCAGCAGCTGGAGCTCCATGTTCTGTCTCAGATGTATCTTCTTCCTCCAGTTTCCTGCTAACCTAGCAATGCTGATCAAACCACATTTTATTCTGCTGTGGTGGTGAACAAGACTGGCTTTTCGCGTACTACCTACAGGGACTGGAGGAGCTGCTCCTGGCAAGAGCTGAACGAGGCGTCCGGCACATACTGTGTCTTGCTCAGCAACTTCATTATCTCACTGCAACTGGCACTCGTCTCAGCCAACTGCTCTCCTATCGCTCGCCAGCCCAAATATCCGTCGGCTATTGAAATTGGCATGCCGTGTTGTCCATGAATCGCACTCTGCAGAAGCTGGATCTAAGGGGAGATGAAGGATAGATCGACCAAGCAAGACAACGGGAAATAACTAAAAAGGAAAGAAAGCAAAAGTGGATCTGTACGGGCAGTAGGCAGACAAAAGGGGCACAACGGGGCGCTCCAAGGGGTGAACATTTGCACACAGATAACAGAACCGTCTCTCCCCATATGTGCCCCCACAGAGCCTTCGTGCTCTGCAGACCAATACCTTCTGGTGGTCTCCGCCCCAAAGGACATCCGTTTAGCCTTGACCGGGGGCAGGGCTTTCTCTGCCTTGGCCCGGCCTGGTGGAACATGCTCCCATTTGAGATCAGGGACCTGTAAGACCTACTACAGTTCTGCAGAGCCTGTAAAACAGAGCTGTTCCACCAGGCCTTTGGCTGCAGCGACAAACTTCCATTACATATGGGCCTCCCTTGCAATGCGGAGATGTGTTTCGTGAGTAGACACCTAGAGACTCTGCCGAACAAGGCTCCACCGCAGCATCGTCTACAGGGCGATCATCCAACCACCTGATGCCCTAAATCAAGACTGTTTTGAGATTGTTTTAATTCTGTTTGCTATGTACCGCTGGAGCTTGAGTCAGAGTGAAGGCTCCAAAGGCCTTCAAGGCTATTGGTTATGTTGCCGGTAACGGCCAACGATATTTGTTGCTTTATAATCCAATTGCTGTACTGTAAATAGTTACTTTGTATATGGTTCATGCAAATGAAAGATCCTAGCTGCCTACTTTGTATTGGTTGCTGTCCACACCAGAGAGAGAGAAACATTTAATGGAATAATAATACAT